GTTGGTTGTTTTTACTGTAGGAAGCTCAGTTCAAACACTGATTCTTCCAATTAGCTGTTGGCAAGTGACCTTGGTGGAAGGAATTTAACCTGCTTTCCCATCTTCTAAATAGAGATAGTAACTATACTTCATACAGTTTTGTAAGGATTAAACCAGATGTGTACGTGTCCAGCGTATCAGGGGGGTCAATGAAATCTAGTCCAGCTAGTGAGCAGCGTGTAGCTGAGGGCTAAGCACAGACAAGAGGGCTCCGTTGTTCCCTGCTGATATGTTCCACCTATTCATTACTTTCTGCATGATCAGACTTGATCACTTACACATCAGCAGCAATCTTTTTCTACAAAGTACTTTATTGTGCTTCTCCACGCTACCAATGAGAAAAGTCCATTTTATTGCGATAGTTTAGAGATAAGGCATCTAAATCTGAGAAACTTAGGGAAAATATGCCAGGGAGCCAGATGTGCATCTTTTTCTATAAAGTGTGCCAAGAATATCTCCCAGGATCCCAGGCCGCTACAGCAACTTTTCACAAACTTGCTCTGACCGGTCATCCCCGCCACAGGCAAGTGCAATGGTGCAGCCTCTCCCACAGGCCACCAGGCCTAAAGGAACAATACCAAAATGGGGCTTGAAAGTTTCCCCTCCACCAAGCCCCTGTTCCTGCATTCTTTGCTTCACAAGTTAAGAGATTTCTCTCGAGATGCTGGTTTGTAGTTTTTTAAAAAATGACCCTATACTTGGAAGGCTTGCTGCAATATTATATGATGATGTAATTATTTATGTAGTCCCAGCTGAGCCTATAGAATCCAAAAGCTTTCAAATCTATATCTACAGTTATAGATTTAGACAGCCCTCCCCACATCATTTACACACACACACACACACACACACACGCGCGCGCGCGTACACACATCCTCCTCAAATATTTCTTTACGTTCCAAAGCACTTTTTGATGTAGCTGTATTCTCTCTATCCTGACATTCTTGAAGCAGCCCTAGAGAAAGTGTAAGATTAAAATTACAAGTCTTGCAGTTCATACAGAGAATAAAGCATAAACTCTGAAGGTGATCTCATGTGCTCAGAATTATGCCTTTTAAGGTCAAGTTGACTCAAAATATGGACCAAACAGAATATAGCAGTTAGTTAGAAAGGGAGCTTTCTTTATCTAATCTTAATTACTGCAATGAAGGATATTTTCATCTATATTTTAAACAATGCTAGTTAAGCCAATGCATTTTTTCATGCTAGTTCCACTTTTTAATTTGGGAATACGACTATTTGTAAAAATAAATAGCAGTAAATGATGGTAACGGATTATGATGGGTCTTTTGGTTTAGCAGAAAGAAAGCCCAGAACAATATTTTGTCCATTTTAGGCACTTAATTTGTGGGGTTTTATACAGGATGAATTTAACAACTCCTGAAAAGTGAAAAATAACTTCTGCTTAGTTTGTACACTTTCAGGGTCTAGGTGAGTGGCCATAACAAGGAGGTAGCTTGGAGGGGTGCTTTATTTAGCTCCCCCATAACTACCATCAGCCTCCCATCAGAATGCAACAGAAGTAGAACACTGTGTGTGCTGTTCCAACTCCTCTCCAAAACAAGTCCCCAGGCTGCTCCTTCCAGCAGATGCTGTTCCAAAGCTTCTCCAGTCTTGACAGTTGAAAGACACCCGTGGTCCAAATACGTCTGTTTATTTCCTCCCGACAACCATCATTCTGCCTTTTAAGATTCTGTGTCATAGTTTGGACGTAAGAGCTTGGAGGTTGGGAGCCCACACACACACACACACACACACACACACACACGAAGAAAACGTGGAACAAGACATTCTGCCCAAGGCACTCATTCGTACAACAGTACTGGACCAGTGGCTGGCACTGTCGTCTTAGTTGAGCTACATGATTTTTCTGGGCCTCAGTTACCCAACCTGTATGATGAGGGACTTGAAAGGGCTGAACTCAGAAGTCTTTTGCAATACTAGTCAAACCAAGGCTTGTTTTTTGAAAACCAAGGATTTCTGGTTTCATCAAATATCTGAATCTGGATAGCTACTGATCCTGCCTGCCTGGGTCCCTTTTTATTACCTTTAACCATTTTCCAGAGGGCGTGAAAAACCCTTCCAGAGAAGGACAAGTGTAGAGAACAGAGCCTAGGTGCTCTGCATGTGTGGAGGGTCCCCTGGGTCTGCACTCCCATCCGCCCATGGCCACCAAATCAGAAAGCTGTCTAGGTAGAGGCAGCCTGCAGAGTCACACCCCCAGTAGAAACTGGGTGATTACAGGGAACAAACAACTTGGGCTTATCTCGTCTCACTGTTTTCCTTCCTTCACTCATGCTCACAGGAGAAATAAAGGGAAATGTTTCTGAAGGAAAGTTCTTGGCGCTCTCTCTCTCTCTCTTTTTTTTTTTTTTTTCACAAAAGGGACTTTTCCGGAGAAAGAGGGAAGGGAGTGCAAAACAAAGAGGCAAACAAAGGACTTGGAATAGTCTATGCCAGAATTCCCACTCCGGCTCGGAAAAACCAGCTCTCTATCAGCAGTAGCCCAGCTTCCCCTGCAGGGGCTGCCGCGAGTGGGGCGCTGGGGCCTGGCTGAGCCATGGCCCAGGTCCTGGTGGGGACCAGCCCCTGGTGACATTGCCCACAGGAAAGAAAGCCCCAGGGTCAGCAAACTGCCAGCCTCCATAAGTACATCTAATTATGACCGCTTACTTCAAAAAGAGGATTTAACCCAAAGCAGATTTAGCAGGGCCTCTTCCAAAGGGCAGCAGGAGGCCCAGGCCTGACCTTTGAGAAAATCCTAAAGGCTTCACTGCCCAGGGAACTCAGCAAAGCCAGTCACCGTGGACGCCTCAGATCAGAACGCAGAGAAATTCAGCGATGCCAACTTCAGTTATCAGGGTCCTAGTGAGGGTGTTTAATTTAGCATAACGAGCGTCGGTCAGCATGTGCCCACAGCATGTGCACTGGTGGTCAGTCAGGGGGGTGGCCTGGGCAAAAACATTGACAGGAAAATATATAAAGCACTAAAGTATAACCTGTTGAGTCAAAACTACTGTTTCAGAATCTTAAAGTGGTTGGATATTTAGTGGGTCAAAGATTCTTATCTAAAACATGTACATCTGGTGACATATGTCAACGGTGCTGATCAAAGTATGAAAAGCATCAATGATATATATAATTTTTAAATTCTGCTTTGATTTTTAAAACCTCCTACATAGCGCTTTGCTCAGGAGAAATCGTTGTGTAATTGCCCTAGTAAAATTAAACAACTCCAAAGGAGGGGCAGGGGATTGGAATTGTTAGTATTGAATTGGTCAACATGAAGTTAGTAAATAAGTACACTTGGGACAGGCTCATTGTATAATGAATATAAAAGCACTTTGTGAACTATAGAGCTCTCCATCAAGTGTTATTATTTCAATTATTCTCTCAGGACACAAATATCAGGAAAACAAAAAAGAAAGAAAAAGGAACAGCTGGGTAAGTACAGTCTCTCCATCCACATACTTCATTTAAACCTACCACTCTGTAGGTGAATTCACCTCAGTCATTTAGCTTAGATGGGAAATTGTAGAAAAGGCGACCTATCTGGTTCTAGACCAAACGATTTACAAAGTGATCAGAAAATATTAATTCACAGCTGGTTCTTTAAAATTATTTGATTTCAGATCTTTTAAAGAAACATCAAACAAGTTGCTACTCTTACCTGACCCCATTCCAACACAGAACACCTAGATATATGTAATTTACACCGTCATTAAAACCTTGTTTGCAATACCTGTGCTTGAGGTCGGAAAATTCATGGAGGTTGCGGAGGTAGAGTTTATTCTCACTGTTTGGTTGCCCCAAAATATCAAATTGGACCATCTATTTGTCCAAACAAGAAGCTGATAAACCTGAGCTTCCAGCAGCAGAAGACAGACTTAAAGAAACCATAAGTGGAGGGTATTGTACATAACACTCCAGCCATTGCTCCCTTTTCCATTTCTCCTTCCTCAAGAGATGTACCAAGTCCAATAATAAGTAAACATTACCAATAACTTAAAAATTTAACACAAACCTGTTGTTTCACGCTTTTATTTACTTTCCTATTGAGGTTACATTTTCTGGCAAATAAACTAATCTGGGAAAACCAGATCTCCTTTTTGTAACTAGATATAGCAAAGCTGGGACTGGTGAAGCTCTTTCCCAATGGCTCTTAATTTGCAAGTCCTAAACACAGAAGCAGACACGCTTGGTAACTCAAAGCATCAGGATTCAATGTCATTGGTTTCAAAGACTGTGGAATTCACAGATGTAACCATTCAGCTGATGGGAGGAAAAGGAGAGAATAAGCTAAAAAGAAGATGCTGAAAAACTGGAGAGTATCTGAGTTCATCACAAAGCGTTTCAATTTGAAGTCTCTGCTTTAAATGTGCTAATCCCTGGTCTGAGAAATCTACCTACAGTGTTCAAAGCTCAACGCTGAATTTTTGTTCTGTTTTGTTTTACACTGAGTTTTAAGAGTTATGCAACCCTGAAAAAGTTAAGCAGGTAATTCTAGTCATTAAGTAATTCATACACAACCAAGTAGTAAGATTTTCTATACCCGTTTTAAGAGTGAATAGGATTCATTTAAAATGGTGATAATTTGTCTCACTGAATAAGGGCATTTTAATCCCAAAGAGAAAAAGTATATTATTTCTAATAGAAGGCAGTTAGTAGAGAGGCTTTTCAAACGTAGGTGCTTCGTTGATCAAGTTAAAACAGAAGCTCCCTCAGTTTGTGGCTTTCTGGCTTTTCACATCCTAGTGGGAATGTGTTGCCGTATTTATACGAACCCCCAACATGCTCACATTAATAGTTCCAAGCAAAGTCTGTCTCACTCTCTGCAAACCGTTCGGAAATTAGGAATTAAACCCCGGGCACGTGTCCGCGGAGTCACGGGTGGAAATCTGATCCAGGACAGGAGGGGCAGGACGAGAGCGCAGCCCGCGGGGGCGCGCGTGCGCAGTTACCTCTCCCGCTCCTGCTCTAGCAGGGTGGTGAAGTCGTCGCTCTTGTGCATGTAGTCCGTGTGCTTGTGCTTCTCGTTCTCCAGCTCGTACACCGTGCGCCGGTGACACTTCTCGGCCAGCAGTAGCTGCTCTAGCATGCGCCGGTAGGTTTCCTTCTGTTTTTCCTCAAGTCTGTCCAGCTGAGGACGCAAACATGGGAAAGAGCTTAATATTTTATTTTATTTACGGAGGACTGTAAATAATTTGTTTGCATTGGTCTAATGATTTATTACCTGTAGGGGAGGACACGGAACCTGCTCTTCTCTGCCATTTTCCCCATGCCATCATTTTCTCTAGGCCACTTTGATTTATGGACTAGCCACAATAGGGCTGCAGTAATTTCTGGCCTCTGGCCTTTTTTCTGTGAACATATGTGTGGTTCCTAACCTTTCAGGAGAGCAAACTCACTGTTTCAATGAGACAATGAAACCCTATACTCAGAAAGAAAGAGAATAGCATCTGGCCTAATCTCAGAAAAATAAAGAGCTCAGCAGGCACGTGTACCAAACTCCTCGCCGGGGAGGAGGAAATTATCCTCATTGCAACCTTTTTTTTTTTTTTTTTAAGGCTTGTAGTTAAGTGCATTTCTAGGAAAAGTATATGAAGGACCCACAATCCTCTTCTTTCAAGAGGTACTAAATATAGGGAGAATCTCAGAACTTGCAGAGCGCACATATCTCAAACTAAAAGAGATCTTATCAAATATTATTACAGGGCTTTTTGTGTCTGTTTCTCCGGCCAGGCTATAAGATCTTTAAGGGACCATATGCCTTGATCATCTTTTTAGTCCCTGGTCCCCAGCACAGCACCTGGAAGAAAGTAGGTGTTCAGTACCTGTTTGTTAAATTGGACCCAATCTTACAATATTGATAGTTCCGTATCCTACTCTCCTCTTCAAACCCTAGTGCAGGAGTTCTCACCCTCAGCACTACTGACATTTCTGGCCAAGTAATTCTTATTTGAGGGGCTGTCCTGTCCACTAGAGGATGCTCAGCAGCATCCCCGGGCTCTGCCCACTAGCTGCCGATACCACCACCTCCAGTTGTGACAAAACTATCCCGAGGCGTTGTCAAATGTCTCCTGGAAGGAAAAGTCCCCATGCCCCCCTCCCTGTTGAGAACCACTGCTCTAGGTGAATCAGATATATTTAGAATCCATTCTTAATCCCACAGCCAACTCTATAAGACTCAGTGGAGTAGCTCCATGGGTATCAGCTTCAGAGCTATTACCCTGATGTTGCACATTTGCCCTTCAGTCATAAGGAGGACCTGAGGTTCCCTGTACAATTTTATTATATTTTCATTGTGAATGAATCATTTATGGGGCCCAAAATAAAAGAGATAATGGGCACTTAGATCCATTTCCCTTTTGGTCTTTCCAGTTTGGTCCTTAAGGCCTCATGTTTCCTCTTAAGTAGATTTCTCTCTTCTTAAATTCCTTAATATTTTTCGCATTAGCCCTCTGTTGATAACAGAGCTAAAATCATTCCCTAAACCATGATCCTTTTGTCTGAAACATACTGAAATTTCTTCCCATCTCAAGTCCCTGAACTCCTCCACCAACTTGATTCAGGTACACTCTGTCCCCATAATCCTCAGTGCCTTCTGATTAGACCTCCACCCCCTTTGCCTAAGAACAGGTGACCAGTCAGACTGGTGAAGCCCAGGTTGGCCAGCCATACCTGAGATCATCAGGGAGGCAAATCGTACTTTTATGTGTTCTGATAAATTACTGCAGTCTTAATGGGACAGTCTATACAAGAGGTTTTTTCACTGGAATAAGTCCCTGTTACAAAATATTCTCCCCAAGAACTCTCCATTTTTCCACAAGTGTGATTTTCACCATATGTTATAGAATTTGTCAAGCATTGCTGGGACATCATCAGAAATGTGCAAGGAGCAGCTCTTTCCCCTTTTTTTAATATTTTTTATTTTTTTTTAAATTTTTATTTTTTTGGCGGTATGCGGGCCTCTCGCTGCTGTGGCCCCTCCCGCCGCGGAGCACAGGCTCCAGACGCGCATGCTCAGCGGCCATGGCTCACGGGCGCAGCCGCTCCGCAGCACGCGGGACCCTCCCGGACCGGGGCATGAACCCGCGTCCCCCGCATCGGCAGGCGGACTCCCAACCACTGCGCCACCAGGAAAGCCCTCTTTCCCCTTTTTGATCCTTCTTAACTTTGTCGTAAAGTAAGGCCTTCCCTCCTTTTGAGAGTATTTGAAGAGCAGCTTCTGCCTGTTTCCTGATACCCTGACCCACTCCTCCCTGAGGAAGGAATGGTTTTTAAAGGTTGTATTGGGGCAGCGAGCTGGGCATGAACAGCCCTGCCTTTTCATTTCTTATTTTTTACTCTGTCTGCCATAAGATGGTACATTGTACTCTCCCTCAGGTGCTGTCTCCAGAGTCTAGGAGAGAGTAATAGGAACCTGGTGGTGGTCATCTAACCTATTTATGCCAATAATAATGTTTCAAGTCATCTGTCAGACTCCTGCAGTTATCCCTCAATCCATTCAAGGAACTCAGGAGGCAAAGATGAGGGCGTTTTTAATTGGATGGTTGACTGAGATACCCAGAGAGAGAAACACTGTAGGGGCATCTGGAGGAAAAACAGCATATGTTGATATTAATTGTTACAGGGCAGCCTAGGTAGGACTGCTAGGCCCTAGCTTCAGTATGTTCTGTCCATATGGGCCTTTGAGATTGGCTGTTCTCAGCAGCTACCGTGCTGGGACTAGGCACCTGGAGTAGCTGCTGTTGTCTCTGTGGGCTGTGTTCACCTCACCTACACCAGTACAGCTTGACTTCAGCACTGGTTACATAATCAGGAAGACAGTCTTTTTGTCCTTTAATGCATCTGGAAGGATGCTGACACATTGGTGTGTGAGCTGCGTTTTTCACCCAGAACTGCAGACCAGACTTTCTTTTTTTTTTAATTTTTTTTATTTTTGGCTGTGTTGGGTCTTCGTTGCTGCGCGCGGGCTTTCTCTAGTTGCGGCGAGTGGGAGCTACTCTTCGTTGTGGTGCGTGGGCTTCTCATTGCAGTGGCTTCCCTTGTTGCAGAGCATGGGCTCTAGGAGCGTGGGCTTCGGTAGTTGTGGCACAGGGGTTCAGTAGTTGAGGCTTGTGGGCTCTAGAGCGCAGGCTCAGTAGTTGTGGTGTACAGGCTTAGTTGCTCTGCGGCATGTGGGATCTTCCCGGACCAGGGCTTGAACCCATGTCCCCTGCATTGGCAGGTGGATTCTTAACCACTGTACCACCAGGGAAGCCCTGCAGACCAGATTTTAAACTGCAAAGGTAGTAAATTCCTCTTTAGCAATAAAGCATTACTGTGTGAGAATCTAGCTTTCAGTTTTAAATTCTGGTTGTAAGAACTAACATAGGTAGCGACAGATCAGCTGTGCCAGACCCTGTTTCTCATTATTTTGTTTGGAACTGCACTGAGCTCCTAGGAGAGAACTGAAGTGGGCTGACCTCTTGGATCTGTGTGGCTTGTCCAGAGACTCTGAAGACCACCTCCCAGTGGATTCATAAATCATGTATACTGTGTCCCATGGCTTTGGGTTTTCAGGCTCCAAATTGTGGCTGAACCACAGAGGAATGGTAGTTCCTATTACTGAATAGTGAAAGCGAAATGGGCACCTATTACTTTGGAAATGTAGCTCCCACTGGACAGAGGTGTAAGGAAAATTGAATGAGATCATCATAGCAACAAAGGCCAAAATTTACTAAGGAAAGAGTGTACCTAAATCAGGTTGGTGGAGAAGTTCAGGGACTTGAGATGGGGAGAAATTTCAGTATGTTTCAGACAAAAGGATCATGGTTTAGGGAATGATTTTAGCTCTGTTATCAACAGAGGGCTAATGCGAAAAATATTAAGGAATTTAAGAAGAGAGAAATCTACTTAAGAGGAAACATGAGGCCTTAAGGACCAAACTGGAAAGACCAAAAGGGAAATGGATCTAAGTGCCCTTAAAGACAGGGCTATAAAAAAAAAAAGAGAGAGAGAGAGATTTTAGTCTTTGTTGAATCAGAATGGGTGATAGAGGAGGTAGAGACAGGAGAGCCTAGAGAGCAGAGCAGTGTGACTGCCCCACAAAGAGGGTGTCAGGATCAGGGAAATGTTTGAGGAACATGCTGTAAAACTGCAGATGGTTCTTCATGAGATCAGTTGGGGCCCTTTCTCTTGAAGACTGCAACAGCTATTCAAAGTGGTTACATAAAATATAGACATGCTGAAGAATTAAAATCTGAGATCAGGGCAGGATATGTAAAGCAATTTGGGGTGAGTTTCATGGTGTCAGCCACGGTGGATGGGCCCTGAGCGAACATGCTCAAGAAACTTGGAGATGTAGATTTCGAAGGAAAGATGAGACAAACGAAAGGGTATTCAGGCAGGACAGCAGCAGATTCAGTCCAAACACCGGTGTGCTGTGACGGGAAAAGACTCCTTAGGAGATCATCCAACTCAAGAACATAAAAGTGGATAAGGTTTGTGTTGACAAAGGATCCTTTTGGCAGACTCATAACTCCTTGGTTTTGCTTCTCTCACTGAGGGTGACCACACACTACACAATACGGAAGGTAATATTCAGAAAACAAATGTCTGGGTCTGAAAGCATAGGGGAAGTTAGAGGCAATCAAACAAAAACTCTACAATCCCTAAAATAGTGATAGAGAAAGAAGGGGCCATTTGAAAATCTGGTCAAAAACAACAATAACAATAAAACTCAGCTGAGCCTTCCTATTGGAGGAAAGGTTGTGACAAAAGAAAACATTTTTATTGTCTTGAGTAGGACAAGTTACCCAAGAATTAGAGAGTTCAAACACGAGGGAAGGCAAAGTTCTGAGGAACGGTCAACTGGGTAAGGTTAGGTCCCTACTAGGCCCCAAGGCAGACAGGCTTCAGAAGGTCACCTGCGGGAAGGGGTAATACCACACCGAAACAAGGGGGCGGTAAGGAAAACCACCGGAACGAGATGGGTTTCCTAGGCCTGGACATCGTGGCTGAAAAAAGAAAAAGATTAAAGAGATTTCACATATGCAGGTTGGGGCTTCCCTGGCAGCGAAGTGGTTAAGAATCCGCCTGCCAATGCAGGGGACACGGGTTCGAGCCCTGGTCAGGGAAGATCCGACGTGCCGCGGAGCAGCTAAGCCCGTGCGCCACAACTACTGAGCCTGCACTCTAGAGCCTGCGAGCCACAACTACTGAAGCCCGCGCAGCTAGAGCCCGTGCTCCGCAACAAGAGGAGCCACCGCCATAAGAAGCCCACGCACAGCAACAAAGACCCAATGCAGCCAAAAATAAATAAATAAATAAAGATATGCAGGTGGAAAAGTAGAGCACCTAAAATAAGACCTAGGCATGGAGGATGTCACCACTGCAAATCCCTAAACTTCACAAAAAGACAGATAGGTTTCAAATGCCACTCACTGAGGGCAAGGATAATGCATGAAACAGATTCCTCCACCCAACCCAGGATTCGCCATTTCCCATAATTATTAGCCTCTTGATGGCGGCAGGCTCTGTCTGATGGGGACAAGTTCCCCCACACTGACTGGCATCCTGTTGTACCTGAAGATTTTCTCTATCCACCCTTCTTCCCTCAGACACCCTCTAAATCTCTGCCTTGATCTTGGTGACATGAGCCTGCTTTGTGCTGAGTCCTGAGGTCAAGGAATATTATTATACTTGAGAAAAATTGACCTTGGAGCTGGGGCTTTTCTTGCATTTTTAACAATTTATGAATGTGAGGTTGATACTATGATAACTGCACATGTCCTAATAATCTTTGGACTCTTTGAGTAAACACAGATTAAAGGACTTCAGGATGTATTAATTCAACTTTGAAAATGCCTAAGATTAAGATCCTTCTGGCTAAAGCTAAGCAGAATAAGAATTTGGGAAGGAAAGAAACTGAACCCTTAATTTCTTTGCAGTTTTGCTTAAGAATTATGAACTTTGATATCTCAGACTTTAGTTTACAAGGAAGTTCAGGGGGATTTAATATTTGTTGCTTAATTTCTCCCCAGATACCTGGCAAGAGAGGGGGGTCCACCATATTGGGTTCACTGCTTAACCTTTGGTGAGTTCTGTTGGATGACCTAGCTGGGCCTAATTTGGGATGAAAATTAGAATAAGCAGTGATTTTTGGCTTGAGGTACAGCATGGCTTCTAGGAACAAGAGCTGGACTATCTTCTCATGATACCAGGAGGCTAATGGAACAGTAATATATGGGATTCTTACATCATGAACTTGGAAGCAACTCTTTTGCTCCTGAGCAACAGGAACTTTATTATTAAGCCCAAAGGGTTAAGAAACCAAAAATCTGTAAATGGTGGAAGAAATCTTTTCTCCTTTCAGCATTCTGTTTCTCTCACAAAGCAGGACTTCACCATTTTGCCAGTGCTGGGAAAAGTAGCTTCTGTCCTTCCCTCTACCTCCTTATTCCTTCCTCCCCAAGGGAGGAACAACTGTTCAGATTGTTGAGTTGAGGGGAGAAAGGAACCAAGAAGCATGCCCAGCTTAAGCAAACTCCAATAGGACAACCCAAAAGAAAGGTGAGTGTTTTCTGCTCTGCTCCTCTGTCCACTTGGGTTAGGCCTACTTTTTGAAGGTAAGTTGGAAACGCCTTCCTTTATGTACTGTCCATAGAACTCAGTGGGTCAGAGGCAGTGATTCTGGTTGTATGTGCTCTGCAGACCTACCTCTCTCCCTTGAGGGGTCATACCAAGCTCTAACTTGGGAGAAAAGAACTAAGAAGGCCAAATGATACTATTTATCCAAGCCAAGTTCTTCAATCCAGGTGATTATAATAATCATATAAAACTGATGTTTTGGGCTTCCCTGGTGGCACAGTGGTTGAGAGTCCACCTGCTGATGCAGGGGACACAGGTTCGTGCCCCAGTCCGGGAAGATCCCACATGCCGCGGAGCGGCTGGGCCCGTGAGCCATGGCCGCTGGGCCTGCGCCTCCGGAGCCTGTGCTCCGCAACGGGAGAGGCCACAGCAGTGAGAGGCCCGCGTACTGCAAACAAAACAAAACAAAAAAACTGATATTTTGACCTCTCTATGTCTTTTACTCCTCGAGTCTCTCCAGGTTTGGAACTAAATAAGCGTGTGAGCAATTATCACCCTCAGCTCCCAGCAAATACTAATGGCTGATATTTGTTGAGTAGCTAGTATGTTCCAGACACTATGTTAAAAGTTTTACAGGCATTGCTTCATTTAATCCTCACAACTCTATGAGATGTGCACATGACAGAGAAGAACACTGAGGCTTAAAGAGTTGAAGTGACCTGCTACAGGCAGCTAATAACTGTGGGTTATCTCAAACATGAAAGTGGATTCAGCCAGTTGACTGTATTCTATCATATATTGATAATTATCTCTTGATGCTTAAAGAAAAGATGAGAACAGAGCTCCAGTTCATCCTGGTTGCAGAAATTAGAAAATTATGGGGCTGTCAATCTGTCATGAATACTTTCTAAAGCAGATCTTTCTGAGATCTGTCAAGCTGAACTGCTGCAAAGGCTTGTCTTAAGCTAAATTACAATAAATTGCTTCGCACTTTTCATTTCTGTGTTCTTTATTCATTTATGATACTAATTTCATATCTATGATTTTTTTTAACATGAATTCCGAAGAGTCAGTATGGCTAGATCCATCAACTGGTTCCCTGATTCTTCATTGAACTTCTACTATGATATGAGAGTATTTTTAACATGTAATATCATGGGTAATTAACAACAATAGTTGATAGTTCCTAATACAGTCTTGCATAAAAATGATTAAATATTGTCCTATTAGATTCCCTTTCATCTTAAAGAACTGCCCTAAGCCTTCCATTGGGATTTTGCTTCAACTTTTATGTTTTAGCCATTCACATGAGACCATTTTAATTGTCTATAAGATATCAAAACTGACTGGCTTTATAACCATAAATATCAATAATAAAAATCAGTTTAATTTTAGGCTGCCAATTTGATAATAATCTGAAAATTCAATGCTAAAACCCATAAGCACCTCAAATTTTTACACATATCCCCTCTTAGAGAAATAAAAGAATAACAGACTGAAGAGCAGGTAACTATCATAATCACATGAGAAACATATTTCGGGCTTTAAGTATATTTAAGGAAATACTTCTACAATTCTTATCAATGAAATGTATCCACAGTAATTCTGAATTCTTTAATTATACTTTAATTCTATATTAGGGCATCACAAAATGCTTGCCTTTGAAAGAAAATGTTAAAGCATGTAAAATGGAAGGATGTGGAGACATCCCTCTGAGGCTTCCTTCTCAGGGACTTGTCGGGGTATGTTTTTACCTCTGAGATGGGTTTCTCATACACATCTTCTCCTATGGACTTCTCCTGGGCCAGGATGGCATCTCGGTGCAGGACCCGCAGCACTTTCTCTGGCTCCGCAGACCCGTAATGAGCCTCCAGAACCTCAGGCTTGGTTTTCTCCGTCTTCAGCATGTGGATCACATCTTCCCTGGCCTGTGGTGGAAAGTGCAGCAAGGTCAGACGGTTGACAACATAAATCCTATGCCGGGCTCACAAAATCAACACGGAGTTTATTGAATATATTCCTGTCTCGTCAGGGCTATGGGCAAATTTACTGGGTGTTTTTTGTTCTTTTTTTTTTTTTTTTTTTTTTCCATACCCAAAGCAGACTGGCAAGCAGATACTCTCCTTCAGGTTGCTAGGAAGCCGGCAAGCAGAAAAAGGGGTTGTGCTAACATTAACTACATAAAAAGTGCTTAGTGATCTAAGTAGCAGTGATTCTGAGAAGGGGGAGGACTGCTCCTGGGGACACTTAGCCCTTTTCAGTGCACATGAGGTCAATGGCAATTTAAAGTTTTCTAGTTTTCTGTTTATGCCCTCAATATACAGTATTCAAATCTGGCTTAAAAAAAAAAAACAAAACCCTGCTCTCCCCTATTCCGGTTCTAACTCCGTGTATAATTAACAAAAACAGCCTTTATTAGTGATTTCCTGTTTCCCATCAAGTGATCCATTTTGCACAGAAACACATGGTTGGGAGCTCTCATGGTGCTGGGCTGGGCTTCTCAATCTAATGTATTCCCGCTGAAGGTGAAACTTAACTCCTGTAATATCCAGACTGCCAATCAGAGCCAGGTTGGTGGGGTCAGAGTTGTTCTTTTGGTTTATTAGCAAAACTTTAGTGTCTTGTTGAAGCTCTTGAGAAAACCACATGATTATAGGCTTTCAATCATATTGACTGTGGTTCCCATCACATAATGCAAATACATCTGGATGTATTGTCTACTGATGAGGAATGATGAACTTTGTAGTTATGACGGAACTGACTTTGACCAAACGTACTCCCATCTGGTTGTATACTTGTTTTTCCAGTAATGGTGATGGGTATGAAGTACCCTTACTTCATCCCAACTTGTACCAGAGAACACACTGGTGGCAATAGAATTTCAGTCTGTGACGATGGAATAGAGTTTTCCCCTGTGTTATGCTAACTGGGGGTTTTAAATCATAAACCTGGCTCGTTATCATGGTATTCTAAACAAGGGAGCTAACTAGTTAGCCCTGAGACAGGACCATTATAAAGTTTGTCTTTCTTGAGATTTCTCACTTTTATTGCTTTTTCACAGTCTCCAAATTCATCTAATTCCAAATGGCTAAAGACGAATTTATTATAGAAACGTCACTGAAATTTGCAAATTTTCCCTATGTTGTGTCTGCCACATATACATGTGCTCCTTTCAAGACAAAAATGGAAAATAATAATTTTGAAGAAAACAGTGGTTTGGAATTAGCGAGAAAGTTAAAGTCAGAAAAGAGTTGAATGGAAAGGCAATGTGTTTCCACGCAGGGCGAAAGGACGAAGCGCAGACACAGTCAGGCTAGCTGTACAGTGTCTTTGTGCAAATTAGAAAGAGATGCCCGCTTCTTCCAGGAGACACAACCCTGAGTCAGAGTGAAGCCTGCCTAACGAGCAAAGAGTGGGCTGTGGTTCACCCCTATTCAGTCCCTCTGCCAGGCACCCCTATGCAAGGCACAACTCCACATCTATGTATGGTGACCCTGTACTGAAGGAGTCCAAGGTATGTCCATTGTTCTCAGTCTTCAGGCAGATGATGTAAACACAGAGCTTTGCAACTGTAAATAAGTAGCTATTTTAGTTTAAAAGTTGAAGCTATCCACTTAAAAAATATGTAAATATTATTGGTATCTTTCCTTTTTTTTTTGCGGTACGCGGGCCTCTCACTGTTGTGGCCTCTCCCGTTGCGGAGCACAGGATCCGGACGCGCAGGCTCAGCGGCCATGGCTCACGGGCCCAGCCGCTCCGCGTCCCGGACCGAGGCACAAACCCGTGCCCCCTGCATCGAAGGGCGGACTCTCAACCACTGCGCCACCAGGAAAGCCCATATCTTTCTTTTTAACCAAATCTTTCTAGTTCTCTTAGAAGAAAACGACTGACGTGAAACACCTATTTCTTTTCTCCCTAAAAAATGTGCTTATGCTTGAACTGTATTGACTGTGTTATGCTGCATACACCAGACATTTCATTCTGAGTTCAATTACCCTAGACACCAATTACCAAAGAAAAAGAGGCTATGGTTATGTAACACTGTGCATTACGTATTTAGAGCCACATTACTCTTCCGGGACTAAAAGCTTTTTAATTGCTGTAGTAATGATCATAGAAGGAAGACGAATATTGCCCATAAATCACTGCTATTGAGAATAGTTTACTATAGTAAATCAAATATTCATATTGTGATATCTGTTTAATCAGTGGAATAATAAAGATGTGATCATAGTAAATTTTTTTCATTACTTTAAACATGTGATTCAATTTATGTAATTAAGATCCTACGTTTTGGGGATAAAACCACTTTATGCCTCTGAGAGTCTTGTTAATTTTTGTAGAAAAGACTGAAGTTCAAAATGTAAGAAAGTTCCTATCCTTGAATGTTACTATTTTCACTCAGAAGTTTTTGTTGTTGTTGTTATTTTTGTTTTTGCTTTTTTCTGCGGTACGCGGGCCTCCCACTGTTGTGGCCTCTCGCGTTGCAGAGCACAGGCTCCGGACGCGCAGGCTCAGCGGCCATGGCTCACGGGCCCAGCCGCTCCGCGGCACGTGGGATCTTCCCGAGCCAGGGCACGAGCCCGCGTCCCCTGCATCGGCAGGCGGACTCTCAACCACTGCGCCACCAGGGAAGCCCTCACTTGGAAGTTTTAAAACAAGCAAGTAAAGTCTTAGCATGCCGGGGAGCTGCTAAATAGGCCACTGTATTTACGTAGATGTAAAAGGACCCAGAGGGAGGAATACTTTGAAGAGGGCTCTAGAAAGGGGAGAAAAGGAGGTCAGAGGAAGAAGAGACAATGAAAATGTTCAACTGACTTAGTCCTGGTGATGGAGAATAAATAGGAGCTTAGGGTATAGAAACAGACACAGAGGGGCCACAGCCTTCTCTTCCATCCTACCTGGTTCCCCTTTGTGCCAAGGGAGACATACGGTGGCCAAAAACAAAGATGTCCCTGCAGAATTGAAACTGCACCCCGTGGAGCAAGGGGTTGTCTCAATTGGCTGCATAAAGAGCTGATTCCAAACACAGGGGGGCAGCAGAGGGCCGCTGTGCAAAGCCTGGGGCCGACAGGTGAGTGTGTGATCCGTCTCACAAAGTCAAGGGTGGGTATCTGGTCTTTGCTGTCAAAGTAGGGATGGGGCGACAGACACAGGGCAGGTAGAGCCCACACAGGTGGTATAGTTCAAAATAAGGCTGAATCCAATCATCCATTCAATACATATTTGTGCACATTCAGTACTGGAGATATAATTGCATCCTGAGGCATTGAAGTCTAGGGGGAAATAGACAATCAGTTGAAAGTCACTTACATTATAACATGACAAACCTTGGGATGGAGGAGATACAGGGGGCTAAGAACTTGGTCCAGAAGAACACTTGACTTGAATCTGAGCTGACGGAGGAGGCTTCCTGGAGAAAGTGACCCGAAATCTCACAATAAGTATTTGAGCCAGAGAAAGAGGGGTGGAGCTAGGCTAAGAGTGTTCTTGGCCAAGGGAAACCTGTAGGCAAAGGCCAAACTGAATAGATTTAGATGCATGGGCTGGGGCCACAGGAGGCCGAAGTGATAAACAACGGGCAACTCATGAAAAGCCTCTAAACCAGGCAGTGAGTTTGCATTTTATCACAGAACAGCAAGAAGCCTTGGAATTTTTAACCATCGGGATTGTGACACGGTCAGATGGTTGGAAAGATCATCCATCTGCTGTGTTAAACACAAATTCTGAATCAGCAGATCTGATGGTGTAACCCAGGAATTGTGATTTAAAATATCTCTGCAGGTGATTATGAAGCATAGCTGCACTTAGAAACCACTACTTTAGGCCAGTTCAGCACCAAAAGCACTTAAAATGTCTGCTCTGTTCAAGGTTCCCAGCAGGCTCACCTGATTCCCGGGGACTTGCTTGCCCCAGAGGTTTCTCCTGTTCTCACTGTGTTATCAATTCCACTGATTCTCCTTCACCAAGGAATCATGGTCACTTCAGACCAGCAGCATAAACTAGGAGGGTCCCCAGAAACTGGTGAAAGTATTTGCTACCTCTGTGCAAATGAGGGTGACCAACTGTCCTGGTTTGCCTGGGACCAAGAAGAACAGAATCCCACAAAGCTGGACTTCTGCAAATCAGGACAGTCCCAGGCAAGTTGGGACGAGTTGGTTATCCCAGGGCAAACACGGAGTGGTCAGGAGACTGGATATTCCAAAATGTCCCTGCATCTGGCAGGGCAGCCATGGTGGACTTAACTGTACTCAGAAACTGAATTTCACTGACAGTGTTTCCAAAACTTAGCTTTCTTTACAGGCAAAACTCCATCATTGATGATTATGCCTAGTGACAATTTTAACTATTTTTTAAACTTGTGGGGTTTTTTAATCTTTGGGAAAAACCCATAATGAGTAGGAAAGAATGCTTAGTTCTTATGCCCATGTGACATAGCTGTTCTACACTCCTAAAATGGGTACATGTCTAACTTTGGGAGGACAGAGGAATCAGAATGAGCTGTGGAACTTCAAATTAGACATGGTGCATCCTCTTGAAGCACTCAGATTACTTAAAGACTAGGGTGGATGGTAAGTAGTTTAAAACCCTTTCAGAAGATTAATACAATATTAATATTTACTTGAATGTTTAGGACAAAACACAAGACTTAAAAAACATTTGCTTGAGGTGGACAGCTTGGGACAGCTTCTTAGACGATGCCACCATGATCCCCGGCCTGGCAGTCCACTCACTTAGGTTGAGAGCAAACACAGCCAGGTGGGAAGTTTGAGAAGCCTGCCCCTAACTATTGACATTGCACACCTCAAACAAGACATTCCCTGCCAAGAGCTGCTGACCTTGAATGGAGAATGCATTTTCTTTTTTTTTTCTTTTTGGGCACGCCAAGCAGCATGTGGGATCTTAGTTCCCCAACCAGGGATCAAAC